TTCAGCGATATCGAGTGGCTCGTCTCTTCGCTTCTGCTATACTCACGTCGGCTTCATGGCCTGAATATTGCCCATCAGAGTATCCAGTGGGCGCAGAAAACGCTCCAAGACGGTCCCAAACGCCCAAGGAGGAGACCCAAGGACGTCAATGAGGCCCAAAGGTGGCCCCGGAGGCCTCGAACAACGCCACAACAAAGCCACAGGGTAGCCCCAATGAATGAACGCCTTTAAGGTTGGGTTCTGTTTTCTTCGCGCCTCTTCTCTTCACTACAACGAAGAATTCGGAATTATAGAGGCCTTCGCGTCACACCTGGGTGAGGCTTCCCAACTTTCCGAAGACGATGCGCAATCGTTCACTCTGTGTGTCCCCGTATGTTCCTGAACGTCCACTGTCGGGGCAGGTCGCCTAGGAACCGTTGGTGGATGTAGTGGCGTGGATTCACGAAGCACCAAAGGCAGCCACATCATGTACACCTAGGTTGCTCCCCCTCCTCCCCCTCCTCCCCCCCTTCCCCCCCTCCCCCCCTCTCTCCCCCTTCTCCCCCTTCTCCCCCCCCTCCCCCACCATCCCCCCCTCCCCCCCTCCCCCCCTCCCCCCCCCGCCCCCCCCTCCCCGCCCATTCTCCTCCTCCTCCTCCTCCTCCTCCTCCTCCTCCTCCTCCTCCTCCTCCTCCTTCTCCTCGTCCTCCTCCTCCTGGTGCCATCATTAGCGCTTTCAGGTCATTGGCCTGTTGACACAGCGCGCTGCAGGCGCATGCCGCCAGCGGCGGGCCCCCGCATCTCTCCCCCGTGCAGCAGAGAGAAATGCAGGCGGAGCGCGAGGAGGAAAGGGACAAGGATTGATCTTCTGCATTGCGCCATAGAAGGACAGATGGGGAGAGGAGGCGCGGATACGATACGGAGAACGAGTACGACGGCGAAGAGAGGAGGAGGGACGAGTACGGAGAGCGAGTAACGAGCGATGAAGAGCGGGGAGGGAGGGCAGACAAGGGATTATAAGCAAGAGAAGGATGAGAAGCAAGAGAAGCGATCGGAACAGGGGAAGCCGGATGTACAGGAAGAAGAAAAAGAAATCGAAAGGATGAGAGGGGACAGGAGAAAAGAAAGGAGGGAATCGGATGGATGGGAGGAAAGGACGGTGAGGATATGGAGAAACGGGGGAGAGACAAGACGGGGGAGGGGCGGCACGACGAAGAGAATCAGGAGCAGCAAGCAGAGGAACAGGAGAAGGACTACAACTACGTGGGATCATACGTACGTATACCAAAGTTGACCTCTGACACTGACTCTGTGCAATCGATCCTCCTCATGAGACTTCAGCTCCCGATGGCGTGCGCGGCAGCCGTAGGAGTGCGAGAGGTCTAGCCTCATGCAGTGCTACCATCTGCGTCTCGCCCTCCACCTCATCCCCCTCCTCACAGCCCCTTCTTCTCAACCTCATCGTCCACCTCCTCCCATCCACCTCATCCTCCCTCATCCTTATCAGCATCTCAGCCATCCGCTGCTCCGCCGCCTGTTCCCACCACTCCCTCTATTGCTCCCTTTCTCCTCCTCTTTTCTCCCTCCTACTCCTCTTCCTCATGGATGGTTCCAAAGAGGCTTAGGGCAGAGGGAGTTGAAAACGGAGGCGTCTGAGTCAAGCGTCTCTGCATCAACCCCTCTGAAGCCCTCTGGTCGGCCTCCTCTTCCTCCCCCACCCTATACCACCCCCTTCGCCCAGCCTCTCCTCTTGACCTTCCTGCTCCTCCTCCACCCTCCTCCCTCCTCTCCTCCTCCTCCTCCTCCTCCTCCTCCTCCTCCTCCTCCTGCTCCTCCTCCTCCTCCTCCTTCATCCTGCCGTGGAAGAAGTCCGGCACCACGTACGCCACACAACCGTAATCGGCGTAAATAGCACGACCCGCGGACGGTGCGCTACCGGCAGCCTGGGAGGCCGACTCGAGCTGGTTGGCCGAGCCTGGCGGTTGGCCGTCGGCCCTCGCAGCCTCGCTGTACAGTGAAGAACGCGGATCCCCCCCTCTTCCTCCGACTCCCTCCTTCTTGCTCGACCGCCGCGCCCTCGGAGAGTGCCTGGCTGTCCCCACGCTCTCAGGGCCCTGGACAGTCAGCTCGCCGACGAGAGTCCAATTCATGCAGGCCTCCCACGCAAGCGCGCGGGGGGCAGAGGGCAAACCGTGGTAGAGGCCGAGGGCCAGGCGGAGGTGGACGCAGTGACGGGGCAGGCGGCGGGGGAGGGGAAGGAGGCGAACGGGGAGGCGCAGGAGGACGAGGCGAATGAGCAGGAGAAGACGGAGGTGAAGGACGAGGAAGATGCATTGGAAGAGGGACAAGATGAGAAGACGAAGCATGAGTGCAGACCAGAAGGGATGGAAGGAGGATGGGGAGGGGGAAGATAAGGATGAGGCAAAGGAGGAAAGGAGGACACAGCGAAAGGAGGGGTAAGGAAAGAAATGATGAGAAGAGCGGAAAAGGGGAGAGAGAGGGAGAGAGAGAGAGAGCTATCAAATGGTGGGAAGAGGGACTGGATAGAAGGAGAGGAAAGGACAAGGGGCGGACAGGAGGAGATGGTGGGAATATGGAGGGGAAAACCGGCCGGAGGGAAACGGGAGGGATGCCACGGGGAGGCGGGGGGGAGGCACGCTGGCCACGCCAGCTAGAGAGACAGCACGCTGCAGGAAAGGCCTGGCACATAGACGACAAGTGGCCAGACAAGTAGAGGCACAGGGTGCAACGGAGGCTCAGAGAAGGAGGATGATTGGGGAACAAAGCGGGTGTCGCAGGGGAGATTACAAGGAAAGAGGCGGGAAGCCGAAGCGAACCGAGGGACATGCATAAAGGGCATATGCGCCTGGTAATGGTGTGCTCGACGTCGGCCGCGCTCCGAGGGGCGGAAGTGGGGATCACTGAAGGGGCCCTGGGACACACCCACACGCACATACATATATATGTATATATATGTGTATATATATGTATATATATATATTCTCAAATACACACAAATAACAGGACTCCCCATATGTTCGCATATGATATGGTTTTTGTCTTCCCTCCCCCCCACACTTCCCATCGTTTCCCGTATTTTTTGGGGGGATCGACGATGAATTGTGTCTGTGTGTGTTTTTTCCCTCCTGGATCACGAGGATCTCTGGCGACTTCCGGGCCCGCACATCGGCACGGCCTGCCCCAGACTGCCGACTTCGGCACGCTGGAAGACGACGGAGCTCGCCCAACGTCCCCGCCGATGCCCCTTACACTGTGTGTGGACTGATGGGGGATCCTTCCCCACATCTTGGACATCCGCCCCATCCCTCCCCCCCATCGGATCGCGACCCGCGCTACGGGTATGAAGGAGGAGCAAGTGCACGGACCCCGCCACGGATAGGATGCAGCGAGAAGTTCTCGTGTCCGTGCAGCGCGGTCGTGCTTCAGCGTCCAGCTCAGGGTGGCTCGAAACACCAGCCTCGCTATCGATGACCATGATTGCTGTGGTGCGCGTGTTACTTCCTCAGACGAGACCCTCATTCAAGTCCCTAACAATACACGTTGGCCCGAGCGGGCGGCAAGCCTCGATAAAAAAAGACTGGACGGCCTGCTCGCTCGTCTTCCGTTAAGAACCACGATCTCAAAACATTCGGGGTGGGCAACCCGCTCACCTGTGGCCCTGGTAGTAACCGATCCATCGCGAAAGCGCAGTGGGGTGGACATCCAAGGCTTGAGCACAGTGCTGATGGAAGCGGTCTCGTTTCCCCTGCCTGCCCCTTGCGCTTAGTCCTTGCCCTGGCTCTGTGGGTACATCTAAGCTTGCTTCGAGATCTGGGCGGCAATGTGAACATGATGGCGCGAGGTTGCCAATTCGCAGCTTATCCTCCTGCGCGCTCCCCACCCACTCACCATCCAACTGTCGGAAAAATGCGCCCCCCACCCGCCCTCACAAGGACCCACAGCAAGGCAAGCCATGGCGACGGTATAACCGAAGACAAGCCGAACCGACAACAGAGAGAGTGCGTTTCACGGGCTCTTGGCTTGGGAACGTTCGGCGGCGCGTTTCGATCCGGGGGGGGGCCCCCCACAACACTCGGCGCCGTCGATCAAAACCACGGGGACTCCCCTGCCCCCCAACCCCCCCGCCCCTCCCGACCCCCCCCCTCCACATGCGCGGGGGGGGTTCAAACCCACCCTGCCCCCCCCCTCGGCGCTGGCGCCTGCGCCTGCGCTGGCGGCCGCCAGCAGCGCCGACGGCGGGGACGCACCGACGATGACCAGAGGCAGTCGACGGGGGCGGGGAGGGGATCAAAACCCCCCCCCTAACCCCCCCCCCTTTGGCGCTGGCGTTGGCGCTGGCGCTGGCGGCCGCCAGCAGCGCCGACGGCGGGGACGCAGAGACGATGACCAGAGGCAGCCCAGGGGGGGGGGATCAAACCTCCCCCCCCCTTGGCGCCGGCGACGGCGGGGACGCAGCGACGATTACCACCACGATCACCACCACTACCACCACCACCGCCTCAACCCCCCACCACCCACCACCACCACCAACCCACCACCACACCACCACCACCACCACCAGCCACCACCAACACCACAACCACCACCACAACTCACCATCACCACCACCACCACCACAAGAAAACACCACCACTACCACCACCACCACCACAATCTACCTCACCACCACCATCACCGCCACAACCACCACCACTACCAGCAGCACAACCCACCACCACCACCACCACCACAAACCACCACACCAGCACCACCACCGCCACTCTACCACCGCCAGCACCACCTCCACAAACCACCGCCACCACCAACCCAGCACCACCACCACCACCACAAACCACCACCTAATCACCACCACCAACAACACCGCAACCCACCACCACCACCACCACCACCACCACCCACCACCACAAACACCCACCAAACCACCACCAACCACCCACCACAACCCACCACCAACCACAAACCATCACAGCACCACCACCACCACAACCACACCACCACCGCCACCACCACCACCACAACCCACCACCACCACCACCACCACCGTCGTCCTCGTCGACGCTCCCCGCCGCCGCCGCCCGCCGCCGCAGGCGCCGGCGCTGGCCCAGAAAAGGAAATCGCGTCCCCGCCGCCGCCGCCACGCAGGCGCCGGCCCGGGAGGGGAGAGGGGGGTCCGGTTCCAACCCCCCCCCCCCTCCAAGCGACCACAGAACGCGCTCTTTCCGACAACGAAACCGAAACCGACCTAAACCGACAGGCAGCCAGGGAGGGCGCAGCCACGCAGCAACATCACGACAACCAACCGGGTCGAACCGGCCGAACGCAGCCGACTGCAAGGCAGCCGAACCGACCGAACCGCGGACCCACTCGCAAAGAGCTGACGGCCGCCCTGTGGCTTCCAAGAGCTCGGTCGCGCGGCCTGCTCGTAGTGGCGATCGCAGTAGCACACGTCGAAGACGCCGTCGGTGAGGACCTCGGCGCCCGGACAGAGGCCGATAGGATGCGGCGCCGAATGCGAACACCCATGCTACTCGAGCCCTAATCGGTGAGGGCAGAGATCTCGGAGCGGCCCTTGCATGTCGGGAGCTGCACGGGAGGCAGAGGGGGGGACGCAGAGAAGGAGAAGGACAGAAGACAGGAGAAGGAGGAGACGCAGAGGAGGAGGATGACGGGATTCCAGAAGGCTGAAGGGATTGAGGTGGAAGGAGAAGGACGATGAGTGATGAGTACGGAGGCGGAGGGCTGATGCTGAGGCGAAGAAGATTGACCGATGAGGATTTGGGAGAGCATCACACAGGACGAAGATTGGGAGGACCGCGAAACAGTACGGACGAGGATGATGATGATGATGAGAAGGAGGAGGGGGTGGAGGAGAAGGAGGAGGAGGAGGGATGAGGAGGCCAAAGAAGGGGACAAATGACGCGGATCGCATCATCAACACCCGCGCCCGGCTTTTGCATCCTCATGTTTACTGTTATTCCTGGACTTCCCCTAGCTAGACAGGAGGAGTCGAAAGATAGCGAGGAGAGCTTGGGCAGCAGGACGGGCGGAGCAAGAAGAGAAGTTGCGAGACGGGAGGCGCGGGAATCGAGGAGGAGGCGGAGGAGCCTGCGATTCGGACGACGGCAACTACCACATACAATATACATATGTAATATGTACATATCTAGGAGCATGTGTGCCTCCATGTATCTTGGTATAGGAAGTCTAGGGGCACGTGCATGGGTCGACCTTGGACCTCGCAAGATGCCCCAAGAACTCCAATGGGTACCTGGGGACGTCGGGGCGCCTACTGGCAGAGCAACTTCTCATTTGGCGCGCAACTGTGCACACGGACACCTGTGTCGGCCAGGCCACAGTGCGGACGTGGCCGTCAGAACCCTTCGCATCAAAAAACAGCCCTGGAAATCCGAGGCACCCTGAACACAGCAGCTTCTCAACGCTCGCGGGAAGTCACAGCGCAACGCGCGACGCGAAGAAAAACAGGGTACACTGACGAAAAGCATATGCTGTCTTGATGCGCGTCCCCATTGTATACGCCGTCCTGGCTGTGCCAGGAAGCCGCACGCACCGACCCTGAGCCCAGTACTGGCCCGGCGAAGATCGGTTTCGGTGTGCAGCTGTCGTCGCCCTGGCGACGGCAGGGGCGACCGAGGGAAGCACAGGGCGGCCCCAGGCTGAGGCCGGCGCCCTCAGGCCCGACCACCGCAGCTCCGTGAGAGTGCCTCGACGGCTGAGTGGGCGGGCCGCGCGACACGAGCCGGGTGCTCCTCCTCCGCCTCCACGCCCTGCTCCTTCTGCCGATCACTCTCCCCCTCCCCCACACCTCCTCCTCCCCTCGTCCTCGCCCGCGCTGCCTGCTCCCCTCTCCCCTCTCCCCTCTCCCAGCCCCCCGCCCCTCCCACAATCATCATGCCCGTCCTCGCCCTCCTCTTCCTCGGGAAGAAGAACCTCTGCCTGCACAGAAACTTTCAGGAGTCCAACCGTTCTCTCAGATAGGCGCTGGAGCCGCCTCCCTGGCGCGCGGAGCACGCCAGGAGCGGCGCCGGAGGCGCCGCCAGGGAAGCGTAGCGCCGATGCAATATATCCGCCTAGACCCCAAAAACAATCGTTTCTGCATATTTCTTTCCTTCGACCCTACCCCTACTTCGCCATCCGATGGTGTCCGCCGCCCGCCCGCGCGGTGGAGCGGCCCCAAAAGCTGGCTCACCGAGAGCGGTTCCGTGCCTCGGCGACTTGGCCGCTGGTTTCTGGCACTGCGCGAATCGTTCCACCTTGGAACGATGGCGGCTGCTTTTGGTGGCGCGGCTCGGTCGAGTAACTCGCGGCGTTCAATCTGGCCCGCCCGCGCTGGGGGCGCTGCCGCGCCGACGCGGCACGACCCCACAATACCTTCGCGCTCTGCACGGCGCGGAGCGCGGCCAGCCTCGCGCCCGCGCGCCGCCCCTTCGGGGGAGGACTCCCAACCCGGCCCAGGCCGCGGAGCGCAGGGTTCTTCCGAGGATGGCATCGGACCGACGGTAACGCAGGCGAAGAACCAGTGCCGATCCCACTCAACAGTCGTCAAAGAGCTGCACGCGGCGGCCTGGAGCACGGAGGTGAGCGATACGAATCCGGTCCAAAGCGAATCGACGCAGCTGGGCAAGGCAGGATGAGAGGAGGGAGGGCAGGAGCGTGCAAAGTGCAACGGTCTTGGCGACCCTGCGGGTAGCGTAGAACTTGCTCCTCAGAGGGCACGAATGAGCCGCGTGCCTGGGTAGATGAGGCCGAGCGCCTCCGCCTCCCGAAATCTCGAGATGCCTCGACTCCCTCGTGCGGCTCGGTGGCTTTTCTCGTAGAGCGCCCAATGGCCCAGGCAGTCTCGAAGGAGATTTAGCCAACAGCTCATTCGCTAACGTCGGCAGGGCGCAGAGGGTGAGCATGCCAAGTCATAAGGAGGGTAGCCCGAGCGGAAGAGAAAGACAAGCCACAAGCCATGGCATAATGGAATGAAGAACATAACAGCCATAAGGGGGAGTAGAACTAAGGATGCTGGACGCTGGTTAAGCAACGCGTAAGAATGGAACGACTAGGAGGGGGAGTGATTTGGAAGAGAGTCATGCCAGGGCACTGAAAGAAACATGCAAGGGTGCCAGGCGAGACCGCATGATCTTTCTGATTCGTCCTCAAACAATGCCTGCGCTTAGGTGTTCTTGCTTCTCTTGCTGTACGGCGGGGATTCGCTGGGTGCCTAGTGGGCGGCCGCCCATGGGCGCCTCGTGGGCGTCCAGTGCCCTGGGTGGGTCCAGCGGGGTTTCGCCGGGTGCCTGGTTGGTGAGGAGGAGGGGGCTGAGGAGGAGGAGGAGGAGGCGGAGGAGGAGGAATATGAGGAGGAGGAGGAGGAGTGAGGAGGAGGAGGAGGAGGAGAGGAGGAGGAGGAGGAGAGGAGGAGGAGGGGGAGAGGAGGAGGAGGGGGGGAGGAGGAGGAGGGGGAGGAGGAAGAGGAGGGAGGAGGAGGAGGATGGAAGCCCGTGGGCTCTTCGTGGGCAACCCGCCCGCCGGGTGGGCGTGTCACGGTTTCGAGTGGTGCCCAGCAGGCGGCCGCCCGTGGGTGCCTGCGGTTGCCCTGCGTGGTGGGGTGCACCACGCGGCCTGAGTCACGTGGCCGAAGGATTGCAAACAAACCCTTGGATTGCAAAAAAAAACCGACGGATTGCAAAAAAAAAACCTGTAGTTCAATCCTTCGTGCAAAAAAAAAACCTCGAAGGATTGCAATCCTGGGTTTTTTTTGCAATCCGGGTTTTTTGCAATCCTTCGCTCCGCATAGCTTACATCACACAGCCTTAGCTGCCCCGACACGCGACACGCAGCACGTAGCGTATTGATACGGAGCTCAACACGTAGACTGAACACGAAGGTCTGACGCGATACGTTCGCCACAACGTGGGCCAATACGTTGAGCCAACACGCATCGTATTGACAGGGACGTGTTGAACAAGGCACGTGCTGCGTATCAAAACGGGCGTATCGAGGCAACTAAGCACACAGCCTGCACCACATGCACACACCCGTAGAGTGAAGGAAAGGGTACGCTAAGGACAGGCACTTCAATCCTATCGCTGTTTTCTCAAGCAGTCGCTCAGGCCCAGGTCTACGAAAGTTCTACGAAGAACAAAGCTCCAAGGAAACGCCCGAGTCCCAGTCCAAACAGTTGATTGCCTTACAAGGAATGTGAAGCACATGCAGATTGCTGTGTCTTCTTAAGATGTATGATAGGTGCAAACTGCAACGCATAGCTTGCACCACACTTGTCGCACCACCTGCCGTATGAATCACATAGTTTGCAACGCATAGCTCATAGCTTACAACGCAAATACTGCACATCATACAGCTTGCATCGTACAGCGTTCATCATACGGCTTTCATAAACCTAACTCGCGACCCAAGCGAACACACGATTGCTGCATAGCATGCGCGCAAAAGCCAACACGCCATCACGTATACCACACACAGAACGCACGACATAGCTTGCAACGCATAGCATGCACATCGGGGTGCAAGAGCTACTGTTTCGCGTCGACCCAGGCTAAAACTTGACTGTTGAGTATCAGAGAAGTGGGCACAAAAGACTTTACCCCGGCAGCCCGCTTCCGCCACCATTGAGACGTTTCCTTCTCGACCCCAGACTACCGACGCGATTTTCCTTCGTCACGACGTGGACCCCGAGCCCTCCACCCCATCTCAGGATCAATTGTCCATCGCGGTCCGTTATTTGATCCTGGGGCCCAGGTGCAGGGGAGCACCCCCCAGAGACAAGGACTGCGAACAAAAAAAAACGCCGAATGTTTGGTGGCGCGGCGTTTGGAGGCCAGGGTCGGGAACCGTTCGCCCCAGCGACAGCGCCTGCGCCGAAGGTCTCCGGCAGCCACAAGTCCGGGGCGGGCTCGCACTTGCCGGCGCCAGCCTCCACGCACTCCAGGCCCTCCACGGCGTCGGACAGCACCCTGCTCTTGCAACTCGACCCCTGCGGCCCAAGGGCGGAGTGGGGGGAAGACCCGACAGGCATGACAAGCCACGGCCGCGCCAGCACTGTTGGCCCTCGTTTCCCTCGTCCTCCTCGCCCACGCCCTCCTCAACACCAGGCAGGCGGAGAAGCAGATCTGATAACCCCGAGCGCGCGGACTGGAAGGAAGGGCGACTGATGGATGAGCAGCTCACGACCAATATACTTCGACGCCGAGGACGATGATGAATAACGTACAACAGACAAAGAAGAAGCGCCGCAAACGTCGATTGAACAGAACATGCGCCGCTGCGCAAACCCAGTGCAGTGCCCCCGACGGGCACCGCGGCGACAGGACCAGGCTCGCCTGAAACCCCGCTGCTGGTGCACTCGGCATTTGTAGAGAACCAAACAACGACAAAAACATGACAACTCGGAGGTCCGCGCGGATTGCCAGAATCGGCGCTGGACACCCCTCCCTGGCGCGCGGAGCGCGCCAGGGGAGCCGCTGGGGGCGCCGCCAGGGGGCCCCAGCGCCGATCCGAGGAATCCGCGCGGGCCTCCGAATCATAATGTTTATGTCGTCGCTTGGTTCTCTGCTTTGTTGAGAACAGCGCGCTTTGCCAAATCCAACGCTACTCCGCTGCGAGGTCGGCGGAGTCCCGCCGCCCCACGCTCCCCCCTTGGGAAGGGGAGGAAGGAGACGAGGAGTGCAACGGCACGTGCTCGCCCCGGACCAGCCAGCACGCGGGCGACCTGAAGTGGTGGTGAGGGGATGACGCTTGTCCTGCAACTGCAGCCGTGAAGAACAAGCTCAGCAGAGCGATGCGAACCCATAGAAACGGCACACCTTACGCAACAATGCTTCTACGTGTCGTCCTGCAGCCAGGAGGAGGAGGGGGGTCACTACCGGTTAGACCCCCCCCTTCTCAGAAAAACCGGGGGGTCACTCATTACCAGTTCGAGCCCCCCACCCTCCCCCACTACTCGCCGCTGGCCAACGACTCCCGGGTCCCGACCGCTGTCATCACCACTGCCCTCACCACTGTTCCCACCACCACCGTCCCCACCACTGTTCCACTGTCCACACCAGTGTCCCACTGGCCCCACTGTTCCCACCACTGTCCCCACTGTCCCCACCAGTGCCCCCCCCACTGTCGCACTGTCCCACTGTCCCCACCACTGTCCCCACCACTGTTCCCACCACTGTCCCCACCACGGTCCCACTCTCCCCACTGTCCCCACTGTCCCCGCCACTGTCCCACTGGCCCCACTGTTCCCACCGCTGTCCCACTGTGCTGTCCCACTGTCTCCACTGTCCCCACCACTGTCCCACTGTCCCCACTGTCCCCACCACTGTCCCTGTGGGCACGACGGGTTCAGGCGGCCATCGCAAGATGTACTGAATGGGATGCCTTTGCACTCAACGCACACAGAACAGCTTGAGCCAAAGCGTCAGTCACGGCGCTGTGCACAAGCAAGCATACAACAGACACAAATGCAGAAAGCACGGATAGTCAGGACGAGAGGGAGCCATATGATTCCACAGCTCCCCCCACTTACTGTCGACCTGACTCCTCGAGCCGCCGCTCGCGATCCTGTAGATAGCGGCGGCTGGCCTCTCGACTGCGCCGGCCCTTCTCACCACCAGCCAAGAGGTGAGCCCTCTCCGACTCAGCATCACTCAACGTCAAAGTCCCACGGCGAATCATGTGGCCCATGGCATCGGACCCCTTGGACACATCAGCCTTGGTCATCACATCAGTGGGATTGAGCAGGTGAGGAAACCACTTCACGCACGAGCCTCGCTGGGAGAAAGAATCTCGAGCAATTGCGAGGTCCACGGAAGTCCTGCGGTCCTCCTTCCGGCCAGCACAGTTCTTGGAGAGGCAGTCGAAGATGGACTTGGCGTCTGTGGCATGAACTCCAGGCAAGGGTCGGTGCAGCTCGCAGTTGTCACGTAGCACCGACACGTAGGGACCAGCGTGCTGTCGCCAGTCGGCTGTAGGAACGTCCCCAAAGCAAGCGTCACGAAGTAGCAGCTGGATCCAGTCGGATTCTCCAAGAGACTGGCAGAGAGAGTTGGCCTCACCGGCCAGGGATGAGTTGGCAGCTCGACGCATCTTGGAGGATCTCCATGAAAGTATCGTCACCTTGCTGGTCAGTCCGGCGGCCAGCTGAGGGTCAGCCACTCCTACAGCCCAAGCACACTGTATGGGTGAGTCCGTGCCGATCCCCGCCGCGTCGCTCAAAGTAAAGCTCACCACCTGCGATAGGTCGTGGCGCCAGATGGTCAGGTACTGCGAGGCGGTGTCACGCAGCATCTGGACGGCCCGATTGAAAACAACGATGTCCTCCACCACCGCCTGCTCCAGCTTGCTGGCGAGTATGGAAGCTGTGCCCGCCACCTCGGGACGGGTTTCCTTCGCCACCCAGTTGATCCGGTAGATGCCGGATCGGAGCTGCTCGAACTCTGAGCGGCTCAGAGGCTCTTGTCTCTTGGAGCGGCGGCCCTTCTCCAAGACAATCGGATGAATCTCCTCCAATATATATTTCTCCTGGTCCAGGCGAATGCGGTGAGCCTCCTTCCTGATGCGGCGTCCTGCAAACTCGGCCTCGTCGCCTCTCCACTTGCCGAAAGTGAACCTGGCCTTGAGAGAGTCGGCCAACCACTTCGTGTGAGAGGTAACTGTACCCAGCCAAAGACCGTCCACCTCTATCAGGACCTGAGCCTTCAGGGCGCCCTGTTCCCGGAGAGTCCAGTAGCATGGCTCCATCAGCAACTTCTTGAAGCCGAGGTCGCGTAGGTAGGAGGTGATCGTGGCGTGCCATTCCCAAGGGGCGTCGTCTAGACCATAGACGGCGACATGTAGCTCAATCAGGCACCCATCGGGAACGTGAATGCCAGTGAGCCCCTCGCAGGGAGCCACATAGATGGGTCCACCAGCCCTGCGGAGTCGCCTCGACTGACTGAAGGCGTTCTTGCAGTCCACGATGCTCTGGTCCATGCCATGGCCTAAGAGTACCAGCCCGAAAAGCATCATGGCCTCAGACTGAGGCGTCGGAGAATATGTCACTAGATGCTCAGTGTCAGGATCTGCAAAACCGTGCACGCACCATCTGCTCTTGGCCTTTGGGGCACTGAACGTACCCTCCTGGGCCTTCCATCGGCGTACCATTCTGGACGATAGCACCCGCTCTGGCCGGGTGCGAAGCACATGAGTGGACTCCTCCTTGCTGAGGATCCGCAGCACATAGGCTTGTTGAGTACGCCCCACTCGGCCTCGTCCGATCGTCGGAAATCCTCGAGCTCCTGGGCCGAGAGATCCTTGAGCATGACCTCCCCACCGCGTGAGGAGAGCAGAGACCACTGCCCGGCGCTGTCCTCTGAGCACTCGAAGATCAGATCCTTCCGGCCGTTCATGTAGGTCTCGACGTCCCCGCTCCAGCCGGAGTCCTCGAACCAAGAGTCCAGCACCTCGCAGTAGCCCTCGAGAGCACTGAAGCCGGTCTCGTCCATCGGGGTCTCCGACCCCGTCTCCAGGGGCCCGGCCTGAGAAGAGACTGCAGCACTGCTCTGCTGAGACCGCCAGTTCTCGAACTCCTGGATTTGGGTGCGAACCCGACCCTCGGCCCTTGGCAGGAGCTCCATGGGTGTCGGTAGGCCAGAACCCCTGAGCTGTTCGTCGGTAGGAGCCCCTCCGGTCGCGGACCGGAGTGTGTCAGGATCCAGCCTGGCTCGCTTGAACTCCAGGTCGTCCTCAGACAGAGAAGGTCGTCTCGACGATGCCCGCGAGCCGCCAGCTGTGGCCACCGCCTGGGAGCCTGTCTCCGATCCGGCAGGTGTCGAGCCAGTCTGAGACACGGGAGGTGTTGGCTCGGCGGCTGGCTCCCTCTGAGGTCTGGCTGCGGCTGAGACAGCACCGCCCTGTCCGAGAGCTCCTGCAGGGTCCGCTGGAGCAGGATCTGACTCCTCGTGCTCTGGCACAGGTATCAGACGAGTCACTGGACCGGGGGCCCAGACGAGTCGCGGTCTAGGCCTCGCGCCGGCAGCCTGGGTCGGAGGTCGCAGTCCCGGTGGGGGAGCAGGAGGCTCAGCAGCTACTTGAGCCACAGTATCTGCGATAGCCGGAGTCGGAGCTGGAGTGGAGTGGGAGCTGGAGTCGGGAGCTGGAGTGGGGACCTCTGGAGCCTCGATGTTGTTGGAGCCCATGTTGGAGTCCCGAGAGCCCCCTTGGTGGCCTGGAACCTCGTTGGAGCCTGCTGGTGCTATGGTTACTGGAGACGCGTTACCCTCGGAGCTGATGGGAGTCATGGTGGCCTCTGGTGGTGGTGGTCCCTCTTGAGCAACGTCTAGAGCCCCACCCGAGATCCCCTTAGCAAGCTGCTCGTCCAAGACGTCCCGATAGCACGTGGTCTGGATAAGCTCGGCCCCGAGGGACTCTGACTGCGTAGCAGGTCGTATCTGTTCACAACTGCATTTCCACAAACGACTGCGCACACACACACCCACACTGTTGTTCCATGATGAAATATCACTGCACCTGGCCCAACCCACCGATCCCGTTGCAAACCGTATGGTTTGCGCCCTGTCTTGGGCGCTCGCCTCCAGATGTATACCCAATCCCCTGGTCGGTAGGTCCTATCCCTGTGCCACGCTGATCCCAACGCATGCTGCAACTTCCTACGCGCATCTCCTTCCATCGCAAGCTGTCGGGCACGAGACCGGATCTCGTGTTGATGTCGGAAAGCCGCCGCCGCACTGTCAAGATCGGCACTCGGTTCCTCGAGATCGTGAAGTCCTATGTGGTCTAACGGGTCCTCGCTGAGCAGCTCCTGTGGTACCCTGGGGTTTTGCCCAAATACTAGCTGCAGTGGTGAATACCCGCCTCGATTCAGGAAACGATTCCGCCAGGCAGCCAATTCGCAGGCCGCCAGCTCTAGGTCGTCGGGGCCCTCCAGGATGGCATCGTCCACGAACCGCTGGAGCCGCTCCTTCAACCATTGACCCGCCCGCTCTG